CCTGGCAGCCATGAGGAGGTGGTGGCTTCTGTGGGGAGGAGCAGGAGCAGAGGTTCTGCCGCACACCCAACGCCAGTCCCTGTGGGGCCTGTCGTGGGCAGGGAAGAGACAGCTGCAATTAGAGCTGTGCAGCGCTATTAGCAAGAGAGGCTGGTGCCCACTCGGTGGCTATTTCCTTTGCTGATTTAATCAGGAGCTGAGCAGGGAGGAGGAGCAGCGACTGCAGGCAGGGGTGGCAGACCACAGCTGGGAGGATTCTCAGAACCATCTGTGGGTTCCTGAGCCCATGCCACGGACCGGGCGCCAGACTGTTCCTTACCCGGGGTGGACAGGGTTTAGGGGTCCTTATTCTATACCTCTTCACAGAAGAGGGTGAGTGTCCAAGTGGCCCTGTGGGTGTCCAGAAGAGGAAACTGAGGGAAGTGACAGCTGAGGGGCAGCTCTTGAGACTGGGCATGGATGGCCTGGAAAGAATGGCATCTCTAGAAAGACCATTCTGCTTTCTCCCCCACAGGCTCAGGCTGGCACAGAGGCCTGCCCCGAGGCTCAGTCCCAGCAGCCGGGCTCCCAGCCACCCTCAAACTCTGTTCCCAGCACGCTGGACACCTCCCCACGCCGGCCCCCTGGACTGGCCACTTCCCCCACAAGTACCTCTCTCAGCAGCCCAGGTAGGGGTGGCCTAGGGGGTTGCGTTGAGGGGGGTGGCTCCTACCACGCCACCCCTTCTCACTGTGCTCTCTGTTCTCAGGGCAGCGGGATGATCTCATTGCCAGTATCCTCTCAGGTAGGGTCAGGGCCTACTCAGGGCAGGGCGGCCACCTGGAGGGCAGCCGTCCCAGCCCAGCCCTTGCCTTTGCTCTGGCTCACAGAGGTGGCTCCCACCACCCTGGATGAGCTTCGAGGCCACAAGGCTTTGGCAAAACTCCGGAGCCGGCAAGAGCGAGACCTGAGGGAGCTGTACAAGAAGCATCAGCGGAAGGCCATCGCCCTGACCCGCCGCCTGCTCGAGGGCCTGGCCCAGGCCCGGCACACACCTGGTGTCCTGTAAGTGTCCTGTGGCCACTCACAGGTATGACGGAGGATGTGTGTACATAGGGGTTCCATGCTCAGTCACCTGCAGACAGGGCCAGGGGCTGTTCTAGGGGAGAGTTTGGTGTAGGGAAGGCAGAGCCTTCCCAAATTTTGCCCAGTCTTTGCTCTGGGAATGATGCCTCTTTTGAAGTTCCCCGTAAGAAGCATTTGTCAGAACAGGACCCCGTGATCTGGATGAAACTAACAGTGCAGGGCCTTATGGTTTGCATAACAGATCTCACCTGCAGGGGCGTGCCCGCCCCCTCCAATTTCCTGCAGAAGGGATCCAGCATCACTCAGAAGGCTCTCTCCACAGGGGCAGGGCCGCTGACTTGGAGGACATGAAGGAGGAGGAGGAGGAGGGGAAACGGTACAGAGAGTTCCAGAACAGGCAGGTGCAGAGCCTGATGGAACTAAGGGAGGCCCAGGCAGATGTGGAGGCTGAGCGGAAGTTGGAGCACCTGAGACAGGTGGGGAGCATGGTGGCCAGGGAGCCAGGGATGCCACCACATGGAGGCATCAGCCCTGTGGGACCCACTGGCTGCCTGTGTCCCCAGACTCAGCAGCGGCTCAGAGAGATCGTCCTGGAGGCTCACACAGCTCAGTTCAAGAGACTGAAGGAGACGAATGACAGGTAAGGGCTGAGGATCTTATGTGGGTGGGGCAGGGATTCCTGGTACCAGAAGGGCAAGGCCCTCAGTCCTGCTCCTGATGCCCGCTCTTCTCCCCATCTCTCCAGAGAGAAGAAGGAGCTACAGAAGATCCTGGATAGGAAGCGCCACAACAGTATCTCAGAAGCCAAGACGAGGGAGAAACATAAGAAGGAGGCGTAAGGGTGTTAGGGCTGGGAGCCATTTGGGTGCTGAGGAGGTAGGGTGGCGTCTGGGCACTGCGCCCACCTATCCTTGCTCCTGTGCAGGGAACTGACAGAGATTAACCGGCGGCACATCACCGAGTCAGTCAATGCCATTCGTCGAGTGAGTAAGGTTCCTGGGACACCCTGGTCCACCTCTTGGGCTGAGGATTTAGCTCAGTGGCACCACACCTGCCTTGTAAGCACAAGGTCCTGAGTTAAATCCCCAGTACCAACTCCCCTCCCAAATAAATACCTCCTTGCTGTCTGGCCTGGAGCCATATTGTCCCAAAGGGCTTCTAAAGGCTTCCCTCTGGGCCTTTCTACACCAGTTCCTTGTGGCTTTGGAGTCCTTGGGCCTGGTCTCTCAACCCTGGGGGCCTTCACCCACCTGGTTTTTGTGCCCAGCCAGAGCACCAAGGCCTTGGCCCCCTCAGCTGAGTCCTTACCTGCCCTCACAGCTGGAGGAGGCCCAGAAGCAGCGGCATGAACGCCTGGTTGCTGGGCAGCAGCAGGTCCTACAGCAGCTGGCAGAAGAGGAGCCCAAAGTGAGGCCATGGAGGAGGTGGGCAGGTGGGTGCTGAGTGGCCTGAGTGTCACTCCCTATGACGCCCATCCTCTTCCCACAGCTGCTGGCCCAGCTGACCCAGGAGTGTCAGGAGCAGCGGGCAAGGCTGCCCCAGGAGATCCGCCGGAGCCTGCTGGGCGAGACACCTGAGGGGCTGGCTGACGAGCCCCTGGTGGCCTGTGCCAGTAATGGTCATGCGCTTGGGAGCAGTGGGCACCTGTCTGGCGCTGACTCTGAGAGCCAAGAGGAGAATACGCAGCTCTGAACTGGCTGAGCAAGAGGTTCCCACCAGGGTGGGCACTGGGCAGAGGGCAGCAGAAGACACTAATGCTTTTTTTCTTTTTTTTAACTTTTGACCTTTAGAAATTTTATTTTTTTAAACCTGGGGCAATGCCCCACTAACTCCATCTTCCTGGGGCTTCCTACCTCCTTCCTAACTTAATCCTGGGGAAGGACCTGGGCTAGGCCTTGCCCTTCATGATACCCGTACCCCAGATAGCCGTTGTTTCCTTCACTTCCCAGGAAGTACTGGGTGGAGACTTGGAACTCTGGGAAGTCTGGGTCACATTCTTTATCTGTCCATTGGGTTTTGTTTTTTTTTTACATGAATAAAAGTGGATTTCAGGGACCCTGTGTGTAGTGTGGTTTGGAGAGGCCTCTGGGTCCTAGGTTTGGCTTTGCAATTTCCTCAGAGGCCTCAGCTTCACAAAATGGGCTGTGAGGTTGTGGTCAGATCCCCAGCCAAGTGTTGCTGGCTTTGAACTTGACCATCTTGTCCAGAACTTGCGTTATCTTTCTCACTGCCACAGGAAGCTCTGGCCAATCCTGGGCCTTTCTGTTTCTCTGCCCTCTACCCCAGTTTGGTGTCCTGGTTTCCTTCTCCCCACTGCTTTACTCCCTCCCAGGCTGTCCCTATCCCCTCATCACAGAGGCACAGGCTGCTTCAGGAAGCCTTCCCTGCCCCCCTTCCTGTTGCCCGATATGACCCAAGTGCCCAGCATCTTCCGCTGGGGCTGCTCTGGGCCCTACACAGGCAGCTGACCATTGGGGACAGACAGCTGGGTGGAGCTGGCCTTCAGAGATAGGTAGGAAGGGGGCCTGCCTGTGACCCCTGGGAGAAGGGAAGCACACAGTCCCCAACATGGTAGGGGCTGGGATACCTTGCATCCCCCTCATCCCTGTGAGGGAGATGTTCTGCCTCTTTTACAGATGAGGAAACTGAGGTCCTGAGTGGAAGTCATGAGTGCTGGGCAACAACTGACTGGAGATACCCTGACCTGGAGGCAGGGCAGCCTGGACCTTCTATGGCCCACTGCCTTCAGGCTGTCTAGAGGACCTGCTGCATGCCCCAGACCAGCGTGGAGCCAGAGAGACCCCACAGTGGGGGTGCAAGGGTGCGGCTGCTGTGCAGCAGGGTCAGGCTGGCACCTCTTCAAGGCCTCTCCCTGCTTCCTGGAGCTTCCCAGGCTGGCTGCTCCCTCCTCCAGAGGAAGGCAACCTCTTATCTGCACTTATCTCCTGCCAATGGAGTATTTGCTTTGCTTTGTTTTTGCTGCAGCCTCAGGCAAACAGATGAGGTGGAGAGGCCAGAGAAATAGGGTGGCCAGAGCAGGGCCTTCCCAGGGCTAGGACCTCTGCCCCGGGCCCTCCCTCAGGGTCCAATACCATCGCCAGGCCTTTCTCTGCCTATAAGACCTCTTCCTTTCCCCAAATCTGCTGGCTTAGTCCCCTAGCAACTCTCATTTCCATGACTGGCTGACTTCCATTTGCCCAAATACTCCAAGTTGGTCCTGGGTCCTCAAAATTCAGCCTAACTCCAAACTCAGCAGTGCCCTGTGAGGCCTTCAGAATCCTAGCCTTGCTGGTCTCCTATCCCTCCCTGGGTCCACTCTGACTCCGCAGGCATCACAGTCTGAGCCCCCACCCCACCTTCTGGTCAGGTAACTGCTCAAGCTTATCACTTCCCTGCCTCCCCAGTTCCCAGAAGATTGAACAGGCAGGGCAGTGTTGTAGTTCATCTGTATATCAAGCACAAACCACTGGCCGGGGCTATCCAGGCACCAATAAATCTTTTGGAACTGTGCTCCGAGGCCTGCTCTAGGTCCCCCTGCAAAGTCTCCCTGTTCCCTAGAGATTGGGCCGCCCCCGCCCTAAGTGTCCTGCCAGGTCCCTGCACAGTGCTGGCCCCTGGATGGCCACACAGTAGCTGCTTGCAAGTCGCTGGGGCTGACCCAGATCGAAAGTAATGCCCCCCCCAACTGGTTTGCAGAACACAAAATTCCAGTGGCGGGCAAGAGATAAGGTCCTGAGGCCGGGCCACACTTTGCTTCCCTGAAACCGAACAACCCAGCTCCTTGCCTTCTCAACCCCTTCCTAGTCTCTGTCCCTAGATGCTGCCCCCAAAACTGTTTCCTTTATATGTAAAACGGTCATTTTGAAGCTGTCAATGATAGCGCTATCCCGGTCAGTGGGGCACCCCGCCAAAGCGACGGACAGGAAACGCGGCGGCACAGGCCGGGCTTTATTATTAACACGTTTGCAGTGAGCACAGGCGTGCAGCCTCACCGCTAAGGGGCACTGGCACCGGCACGGTTAATCCTAGCGCGCTTCACGGCGCAGGCGCCCTTGGGAACCAAGCGCCAGTGACAGGGTGACTTCCGCCGGCAGCTGAGGCAGGCGAAACTTCCAAGACTTCCGGGCTCTAGGTCAGACCGCCTCCCTACGAATGGGACAGAACGGATCCTCCTTTTGTGCAAGGCCTGCAGAAGACTTCCGCCCACACCCAAAAAGGCCGTCAAAAGAGACGGGGTTGGTAGGGTTCAGGGAATGTAGGGCGGAAGTTCACTGAGAGGGGGCGGAGCCTCCTCTTCCCAAGTTCCGATCCCACCAGGACTGGATGGCGCGTGTCCAGCTGGAGCTCTGCCAGAGCTTCGTCGCTGTGCCTGCGCTCTTCGGGCGAGGAAGACCCTTTGGAGGTGAGAAGAGGGGTTTAAGTGTGTTAGCCTACCATGGCTCGAATCTGGCCCCTCCATTTCCAGAATCCCATCTCCAAGTGAGACCCTCAGGTAGAGGATGAAGACCAGTTTCCAGGATGCCAGGAAACACGAGAGGACGCTTAGGCCCTTTAGGAACGGGGCCGGGGAGAGCCACGAAACTGTGCTGAGGGCCGTGAGAGAGTACGCCTAAGATCGAACTTAGAAGAGCCAGAGATTTAACACTTGTAACTCGGGAATTAAAATGACTGAAATTGGGACTGAAGATCCCAGTCATGCGAAAGGGGCCAGCAGGCCTCATGCTCTAAGGATCTGGGGAATCCCGGAGCTTTGCCATGGAGCAAGTTTGTACTTCAGATTTTGGACTAGCTGGAACTCGGAAGGCAGAGACCAGTGGGCGGGGAGAAGTCATGAGACTACAAGTCCCGGCATGCCCTGCGATTCGGAAGGGTCCTGCCTGAGTGGGAGCAGCCCAGACCTGCAGTCTCCGCAAGCCCTGCGCCTCGGAAGGAATCAGGGATGGACCTGGCGGGAGAGGCGGATACAAGCCTACAGGTCCCAACATCCCGAAGGCCGGTGCTCACCTTGAAGGAGTCCACGAACTCGTCGCTCATCCTCCGGAGCTCTCTGCCGTAGCGCTGTGCAGCCCAGAGATTGGGAGGCGCCGAGCGCGAGCGGCCCCGGAATGGGCTGGGCTCCTCTTCCATCCCCTCTTCCTCCTCGGTCCCTGTGGGGTATGAGCTGTGGCGACTCCGGGTCTCCATAGCCCCAGCGCCTGCAGAAAGGGTCAGGGCGACAGGAGTCTAAACTCCTCTGCGCCTCCAGCAATGCTGAACTCTTTTCTTAGGTAATTAACTGTCCCGCTAATGTCTGCACTCACATCCTAATGTCTGTACACCAGTCTACCTCTGACAGCCCAGTTCAGAACGGAGGGATTCTTTTCTGTGAGGAATCGAATAAATTCTCATTAATTCCACAAATCCCTATGAGTGCCAATAGTAGACAAGGCCTGTGAGATGGCCCCTCCACTGCGCTTGACAAAATAAAAACATTTTTAAAAAGTTGTAATCAGCCGGGTGTGGTAACGCACACCTGTAATCCCAGCATTCCAGAGGCTGTGGTAGGATGATTGCCACAAGTTTGAGGCCAGCCTGGGCTACACAGTGAGTTCAAGGCCAAAGCGAACTGCACAGTGAGACCCTGTCTCAAAAAACAAAGGAATAAAATAGTCGTAATCATTAGTGTAAGTCAGTCATGGCGTCTCCTGGTAACCCATGCATTAGGCGAGTGTCGCTCTAGCTCTGCAGGTGGTCTGCAGGGCCCTGTGGGGCAGCAATATTTCTGCATTCTTCCCCTGCTTTGGAATGCCCAAAACTGTCGACTTCAGGTGCCATTTCTGGAGTACTTCATATGTTCTAAGGCTTAGGCATTCCTTCATTATACTCCTAACTAACCAGGGAGGTGAGTACTATACTACTATATCTTCCACTTAACAGATGAGAAGACAGAGGCTTTGGGAAGTTAAGATTTATCTGGGGTCACACAGCTGTGATGCCCTGAGAGTGGAAGTCCCCAGGTTTGGTGGAATACATGGTCCAAGGGGGATGTGAACCTTTTCATTTGACCGACATCCTTCAACTCCTAGTCCAGTTTCATCCCCTATATAAGAAGGACAATCCCAGCCCTCACTGCCAGCTGTATTTAAAGGCCATATCAAAGAGTGTAGAGGTGCTCTGGGAGCTGCAGGTCCCCTGGGGCCACTATTCAGAAGCACCTCTGCTGTGGCCTGCTTGTATCAGCTGTGTGCCATCCCAGACTGCCAATTGCACGCCTCTGTCCAGACCAGCAAAGACCTAGAACCACTCCTGGGAACAGAGAAGCCAGAAACACATGCTCAGCATTCACTGCCAGTTGTGTTTGGCAGGGAAGGCTTTTCGGAGGAGGTAAAATCTAGGTCAGGCTTTGATGGCAGAGGATAACAAACAGAATGTCCTCAAAGGAGCGCAGAGAGAGCCCTGCTGGTCAGTGGTGACATGTCCAAAGGTCTCAGCTCTAGAAAGGCCTGGCTTAAGACAGTGTGGGCAGAGTGTCCCCCAACATCAGGTGGAGCCACAAGCCCTCCAGATATTCCAGGCTCGTGGTGGGGACCAGGTAGGAATCAGGACTGAGGATGGGGTCTGGGAGCCGGAAATGAGAACCCATCCTAGGAAGAGGCTGTCTGCAGAGGTCAGAAGCTAGGTGTGCCCATCTATGTCCACGTTCCTGCTTTGACTTTGGGCTGCTTCTCGAAGACCTTGATGCCTCAGTGTCTTTCTCTGAAATGGGAAGTTCCTGTCTGCCAGGATGACTATATGAACAAAGAAGTGCAGGAAAGCACCCTACCATATGTGTCCTAAGGCTTCCCAGCTCCCTAGCAAGGTAGACACCAAATTCTGTTTTGGGAGGGGGAAATTGAGACAGAATCTCACTATGTATTCCAGTCTGGTCACCAGTTTATGGTGATCCTACCAAGTACTAGGATTATAGGTGTGTCCCACCACCCTCAGCAAAATTCCACCTTTTTTTTTTTTTTTTTTTTTTTTGGTATGGGGATTGAACTCTGACCTTGCTTGCAAAGCAGACAGCAGAACCACTGAGCTAAATCCCAATGAAATAGAGGCATTGCAAGGTTAGGAATCTGAGTAATGTAGCAGTGGACTGTGGCCACCACCCAGCTGCTTGGGAAATGTCAGCTGATTCCTACTTGCTCTGAGAAGCCATGGGACCACTGCGAGGCCCCATCATGTAAAGGTGAGCGATCCACAGGTAGGTACTGCTCTGGGTGCTGTCCCTCACGCAGAAATGAAAACAAAAAGAGGGCAGCAGAAGAGCACTGGCCTGGGGAGGTCTCCAGCCCAGAAAAACAATAAACAATACATTAATGCATTTAATCTTGACCACATTATCAGGGTGGTCCCTCATGGTTACCATTTCACAGAGGAGTAAACTAAGGCACAGACAGGTACGTCATTTGCTCAAGGTCACAAAACTAATAAGTGACAGAGATGGGATCCAAACCAACCAGTTTGGCTCCAGCTACTACCTGCTTAACTCACATGCCCCAGGCTCTGGGGTTCTAGTTTGGGGAAAGCCTCCCCTGGACCTCCTGCTGTGTGCTACTCAGCCAGGAGTCTGTCTATGACGTGGAGGATTATCACCAAGGCCTTGGATTTAGCAAGGTCAAGCCATCCCATCATCAAAATGACACACATTTTGTAAAATGAATTTTTGATTTTTTTTGAGACAGGGTTTCACTATGTAGTTTAGGCTGGCCTTGAACTCACTATAGAGCTCAGGCTAACTCGAACTTAAGGAGATCCTCCTGGCTCAGCCTCTCCAGTGCTGGGACTGCAGGTGTGAGTCACCACTGAATTTTTTTTTTTTTTTTTTTTTTTTTTTTTTGTACCGGACTTCGAGCTTAGGACTTTATCCTTGTGAGACAGGCGGTGGCACCACTGAGCTAAATCCCTGGCTGAATGTTTTAAAAAGTATCTTTTTACTGGAAAAAAAAAAAAGCTAGGGGATTTTTTTTTATGAACTCTCAGGGGGAAAAAATGGGCAAGGTGCAGCCCAGGCCATCCTGTCCACTCTGGGGGAAGAAGAGAGGTATGGCTCCTCTCTGATGTGAGCCTTCCCACTCAGGCTATCCAGAGTCTGGCCTGGGACTGCAGAGTGGGGGGTGACTATGGCCAGCTGTGTCCCAAGCCCTAGCAAAGCAACTGCAGTTTTAAATTCTTTACCCACCAGACTTCTGAAGTGGGTGCGGCTGAACACACATCGCTGACGGCAAATCTTTTAGAGATTGAGAGCCAAACTGCAACCCTGAACTCACTTATTTATCCCAAAGTGCCAACACTGCAATTAAGCCTGAATACTGAGGTTTTAGTTTAGAAAAACAACTCATCCACTAACATCTTTTGTCTTAAAAGAAAAAAAAAGACACACATAAATACAATAACGTGTGTCATAGTTCTGCCACCTACCATTGACATATATCCAGCTTCAGGCATCTGAGAGCATCCTTGCATACTTAAGTAAAACTGGTGTGCTGGGCCAGGGATATAGTTCTGGCACCATGTCTGCCTGACAAATGCAAGGTCCTGAGTCCAAACCCCAGTATCAAAAACAAAAAGACTGGGTGTGGTGGCGCACGCCTATAATCCCAGCACTCGTGAGGCTGAGGCAGGAAGATGCTGTGAGTTTGAGAGCAGCCTCGGCTACATAGTGAGATCCAGATCAGCCTCAACTATATAGTGAGACCCTGTCTCAAAAACAAAAACAAAAACAAAAACAAAAACAAAAACAAAAACAAAAACAAAAAAACTGGTATGCTGGCCAGGCATGGCACAGGCCTGTAGTCCCAGCACTTGAGAGGCCGAGGCAGGATGGCCATTAGTTTAGGGCTAGCCTGGGGTAACATTATACATTAGTGAGCTCAAGCCCAGCCTGAACTGCATAGGGAGACCTTCTCAAAACACAAAAACAAAAAACCCAGTGGTGTACTGCTTATAATGGCACATGCCTGTAATTCCAGCACTTAGAAGGCTGGGGCAGGAGGACCACCTCAAGTTCAAGGCCAGCCTGGACTACATAGCAAGACCCTGTCTCAAAAACAAACACAACACACTTTAAAGTAGGGCAGGCTGGATCCTGCCTCTGAGATCTGCACTCTGCCTGTCCTAAGGGACAGAGCACCCATGGCATTTGTGCTAGGGTCTGCCCTGAGCTGTGGCCTTAAACCATTTCAACCCCTCTGGGCTGGCAGAGAACCCCTCACCCTGCTCAGAACTGAGATCAGGCCAGGCGTGGTGGCACACGCCTGTAATCCCAGCACTTGGGAGGCTGAGGCAGGAAGATCGCTGTGAGTTTGAGAGCAGTCTGGGCTACACAGTCAGTTCCAGGGCAGTCTCAACTACATAGTGAGACCCTGTCTCAAAAAAAAAAAAAAAAAAAAAAAAAACAAAAACTCAGTACTGAGATCAGAAAACTAGGTTGGCATGATAGCACACCCCTACAATCCCAGCATTCTGGGAAAGTGAGGCAGGAGGATTGCAAGTTGGAGCCCAAACTAGGCAATTTAGTGATTTACCAAAACCCTGTCTCAAAGTAAAAAATACAAAAGAGTTGGTAATGTAGCTCACAGTGAAGGCCCTGGGTTATATCCTCAGTACCTAAAAAGAAAAACGCCCAGAGTGGTGGTGCACACTTGTAATCCCAACTACTAGGAAGGCTGAGGCAGGAGGATGGCAAGTTTGAGGCCAGCCTGGAGAACTTAGCAGGACTATGTCTCAAAATTTTATTTATTTATTTATTTTTGTTTGTTTGTTTTATTTTTTTGAGACAGGGTCTCACTATGTAGTTGAGACTGACCTAGAACTCACTATGTAGCCCAGGCTGGTCTCGAACTCACAGCGATCCTCCTGCCTCAGCCTACCGAATGCTGGGATTACAGGCATGAGCCACCACACCCAGCTTAAATTTTATTTTTTTATATTTTGTATTTTTTTGAGACAGATTCTTCTGTGTAGTTCAAGCTAGCCTTGAATTCACTATGCATCTCAGGTTGACCTTGAACTTGTAGTGATCCTCCTCCTGGGATTATAAGCATGCATTACCACATGCAGCCAAAAATTTTAAAAATTTTAAACTGAATCCTGGCATGTCCCGGCATTAAGGAGGCTGAGTCAGGAGGATCATAGCAAATTCAAGGCTGGCCTGGGTTACATAGTGAGACTC